CCTATGGGACAGTTCTACTCTGTCCTATAGGGTCGCTATGAGTTGGAATCGACTTGACGGCAAGAGGTTTTAGCTAGGGATAATGGAATTCCCGTGGACAAAATGTTTTTAAGCAAGACAGTATATCCTGTATCATGTAATAACTAACTTACCTGTTCACCAGTTACTGCCCATTAACCCTGACTCATGTCAACCCCATGTGTGTCAGAGTAGAACTGTGCTCTCTAATAGGACTTTCAGTGGCTGATTTTTCATACGTAGATCTTCAGGCCTTTCTTTCAGGGTACCTCTGGGTGAACTTGAGCCTTCAACCTTTCAGTTAGAAGCCAAGCGTGTTAATCGTTTGTACCACCCAGGGACTCCAGTAACTACCTTATCACTAGAGAAATAGATGCAAAGCTTATCCCTAGTAAACTTTTCAGGAGTCTTGGGAAGTATGAAGGTGGTGTGGTCTTACATAGGGTGAACATTGACATGATCCCACAGCAGTTCTTGGAATAAGAAAAGGGTGGTCAGTGAATCCCAGTGTGCCTGAGAGAGTCTACCAGCCATGTTTAGTTGGAGTCAGGTTAACTGTGAATGGCTGAAAAGCTTCAGTGATTGATTTGAAAAGCATTTCAATTCTGTGGACATTAGAGTGCTTAGAGAGTGGCAAGATCTTCAATGTGTGCCTTGGGGGATATAAAGTTGAACAAGGCACAGCCTTGGCTTTGTGAGAACTTAAACTGTGGTAGCTAGAGATTGCCTTGAGCAGTTATTTGTAAGTGTAATTATTTAAGTGCTTGAAATGGAGGCAGCCAGTTCCCATGGAGTCAGTGCTGACTCATTGTGACCCCATGTGCATCAGAGTAGAGCTGTGCTCCGTAGGGTTTCCAATGGCTGATTTTTCAGAAGTAGTTCACCAGGCCTTTCATCCAAGGCACATCTGGATGGACTTGAATCTCCAGTCTTTCAGTTAGCAGCCAAACGCATTAACTGCACCACCAGAGACTCCAGGTGTAAGTACCAGTGGTGTGGAAATCTGGACCTGGCCCAGTGGTAAGGAGGAGGAAGTGACTCCTCGCCCCAGGCCTCAGTTGCATCATCCTCTTTGAGAAGTGGGTTGAAATTCCTTTCCAGCTCTGAAATATCTGAGTCCATGAGCTGCTAAGATTATTGAGCAAGCTGGAATTATGGTGGATGTGTTCCACATTGTGGAATGAAACATCCCTAAGCCACCTTTCAAGTGACTTTAGATTTGCATCTTTATGGGGTACTACTTTAAAATTATATTATGTTGTAAAACTTTACATAGATTTCATTTTCTCCATAAAATAATCCACTACTTTGGCCTTCTTAGGTCCTTCTTTTTATGCTGAAATAATTATTACAAAATGACAATTCTAATTTTATTATAATGTTTCTGTGAGCTAGTGTAATAGAACCCTGTTTTTGCTTTTTATAAAGAGAGGGCACTTCGAGAGGTCATTTATTCCTAGCTGCTTGGGACTGAATATTAGTAACAAGAAAGTTTACATACACATTGAATTTTTCCTTTATCTCATATTTTATAGATCCAGGTTTTTTTTTTGTTTTGTTTTGTTTTGTTTTTTTTTTTACTTATAGTTAAGCCACTAATCATTGGGGTAAATTTTGGAGCTTTACGTTTTATACAACCTTAACATCAGAATTTTTTTTTCTGTTTATTGCTGTCCTGTTTTGCCTTTATCTTGTCTTCTTTTCTCAAGGACTTTTGATTGTTAGTTTGATAGCACCTTCAGTAGAAATGTATAATAACTCATTCCTGCCCTTTAAAGGGCTTTATAACTTTTATATAACTTATAGAAATTCCTGGTTTTGTAAGTCTTAAAAACAAATCTACTTCTTAAAATTGCAGGAATTCAAAAACCATATGTGAGAAAATTTCAAAAATAAAAATGCATATCAAATTGTTTGTGAATTCTTATTTTTTCAGTATTAGTATATATCAGAGAGGTCTGCCTATTAAAGCTAAATGCCCTGAGACATATACTATGTCTTACTCTTAGCAACTTTACTTGTTTCTGTAAATTAATAAAGTTCTAGAATAAAATTTAGTATGTGATACCTATGAAGACTATGACTTTATCAGAAATTTCTGCTCTATAGTAGATAAGTTGGATCTAGATGACAACAGCAGATGGAAAATTATACTTTGGCATGTGGTGGGAAAATACCATGTTGTTTGAAAAGTTTATCATAAACTTTTCATCACTTAATCATAAGGATACATATAACTTTTTTATATACTAACATTTTAAACTAAATATGACCCAAAAGCAATAGAATTCATTAAAAGTAAAAGTTCAGTGAATTTACTCAGGTCTGTTGTTTTTTTTTCATATTCTTTAGGTTAAGTACAGATATTACAGAGAGAAGAGTCGTAAACCTGTATCCCGTGGAGTCAGCCGAAGCCTTAGAATTAGAATATACTGCATTAAAGTACGTTTACATTTTAATAGCAGAAATATATTTCTATTTTTACATGGAAATGTTTCCTTTAAATTTCACTTTATGTCTTTCTTTTTTTCCCTCTTGTTCCCACAGTGGTCAGATGCAGCTGGAGACATCTCCGCTGTGTGAGGTAAGGCTGCACTTGGGTTAGCCAGAGCTCTGTGCAATATCCTGCCACAGAATACTGGCCGCCATGTTCTGTAGAGATTCATCAGGAGATAAAGGGTTTGTTCACCAGGGAAGTGCTCAGATTTATTTAAGATGCATTGTTCAACTTTTCCATGAGTCGGAATCGACTCGATGGCAACGAGTTTGGTTTGGAGGCCTGGTGGCGCAGTGGTTAAAGCTACGGCTACTAACCAGAAGGCCGCAGTTCAAATCCACCAGCCGCTCTTTAAAAACCCTATGAGGCAGTTCTACTCTGTCCTATAGGGTTGCTGTGAGTTGGAATCGACTCCACAGCAACAGGTAGTTTTTTTGTTTTGTTTTTTGTACCCTCTTTAGTTTTTGTGCCTGCTTATTACATACCAAACCAAAAAAATCAAACTCATTGCCATCAAGTCTATGCCAACTCCTGGCGACCATGTATTATAGAGTAGAGCTGCTCCATAGGGTTTTCTTGGCTGTAATCTTTGTGGAAGCAAATCACCAGGCCTTTCGTCTGCAGTGCCACTGGGTAGGTTCAAACCACTAACCTTTAGGTTATCAGTCAAGCGGACTGTGCCACCTTGGGACCATATTATACTCCACCCGCCTTTAAAGATGAGAGTTGGCTGCTGTCGGTAGTTTCTCTAAATGCTTACTGTGTGTGAGACTGTCTCCTGGAGTGAGGGGGTGGCAACCCAGATAGAGAGTGCAGCTGTGTTGAGTCAGGAAACTGGAGGGAGGACCGTTCAGTCCAGCTTTTACAGCCCAGAAAGAAGTCTGTTAACCGGCCAGATAGAAATGAACTAGTAGAAAGGACTTCAAAGATAAGAACAAACCATTTGGGAAATTTCCAAGAGGATTAAAAGAACATAATGAAGAGAAAACTGCTGGGGACCCTGGCGGCAGGGTAATGGTAGGTTGGGTAGTGTTAACGTGGGGTTATGTTTGGGTGGCTGTAGAGAAAGCAGTTTTGACATAAAACTGGAGATGAGCTTAGAAAGTTCCAAAGAAAGACTAAGTTACCCAAGTCATAGTGAGATTGGTTTGAGATGGTGACTTGAGAGTGAAACATAGGTTGCAACCTATTCCATCCCTTCATAGTGAATGGGCTTAGAATGACTGATTTAGGTACTGAGACTGTGGGCAAACCAATTTCTAGCCCTTGAGGTGTTGCACATGAACAATTTCACACTCTTAAAAGCTTATTGATGCTGAACTGACAGCATGTGATTTGCCGGGTAATGTGGGGTCCAGGCAGGTGCATTTATTCAAAGCTCTCAATGTGATTCTGTGTGTTTGGGAATCAAGTCTCTGTGCTGAAGAAATATGGGGAAAAGAGAGGTAAAGGCAAAAAGCCATGTTCCCAGAGAGTATGGATGGTTGTTAGGTACCGCGACCTGGAATTAGGTCAGGTATCAGTCCCAGCTCAGACTTGCTAATTATGCAAATCACAGGTTTTAGCCTCTCTGAGCCTTACCCTCGTTTTCCATAAACTGGGATGATAATAAGACCTGTTGTAAGCATTAAATGAGATGATTCAAGAAAGATCTCACAACATAGGGCACCCAATAAATCTTAGCTGCTATTGTTATTCTCCCACTCTTATTGTCTTTGGTGTGGTGTTCAGGCAAAATCACAGGCCCAGCTCTTTCCCTGGGTGAAGGCATCATTGCCTCACCCAGCAGTGGAGCAACAGGGAACCCCTTGTTGCAGCTGCCCTGGGCCCACTCCAGTCTTCTCGCCATCTGAGACAGGCTGTTTCTGATTCTGTGCAGACCTGCTTTTTTTAAGGGGAAATAATTTTCAGCTTATAAAAGCTCACAAATACATATATGTAATAAGAAACACCCATATATCCTTTACTCATATTTACCAGTTATTAACATTTTATCCCATTTGCTCTATCATTTCTTCTCTCTCTCTCCCTCTCCCCTTCTCTGTTACACATACACATAGTTGTTTCTTTTTTTTTTCTGAATCATTTGAGGCTGAATTTCATCAGCCATACCCCTTAAGCCCTAAATATTTCAGTGTGTGTTTCCTAACAATATGGATTTTACCTTTCATAATAATATCCCACTTATCAACCTCCTCATAAATTTACGTTGATATTGTATTTTCATCTAACATGTCATCCATATTTCATATTTGTCAGTTGATGTAATAATGTCCTTTATGTGTCCTTTTGGGAGCAGATTGCCAGGTCTTTCTTCTGAGGCACTTCTGGGTGGACTTGAACTGCCAGCCTTTTGCTTAGCAGCTGAGCACATTAACCATCTGCACGACCCAGAGTCTCCAAAAAAGAAAGCAGAGCTGCACAGAATAAGCTAGGGTGTGCCCACTGTGGGCCCTTCCTGTGCTGGCCTAGGATTCTGCCCTCCGTCGGAGTACCAGGTCACCCCCATGGACTCAGCCACCCCATAAACAATAATGACTTCCAAATCTATAGCTAGCCCCCAGTGTTCGGATATGTATGTACAGATGCTGCTGACCTTTTCATCTCCATCCCCCTTGAGTTTCTCATTCTCTGCCCGGCTGAACTAAAGCTGTACTAACTTCCCACTTAACTGCTCCCATATTCCCTGTGGTGCTCAGTGACACCATCACCCACCCAGTCAGTCCTGCCGGAAGCCAGGATGTCCTGAACCTTCTTCCATGGCCAGTCCCAGGTCCTGCACGTTCTACCTCAAAAAGTTTCTTAAATCTCTCTCTTACCTAGTGGTTGCCAAAGCAAACTGATGCTCAACTGACAGCATGTGATTTGCCCAGGTAATTTGGGGTCCAGGCAGGTGCATTTATTAAAAGCTCCCAAAGTGATTCTGTGTATTTGGGAACCCCTGCTGCCTTGGACCATTTCTAAAAACCTGTAATGAAAATGGATGTACGGTGGGGGCAGCAGGCAGCTTGATAACCTCGAAGGTAAACTGATGTTCAGTGAGGCACTTGGGACTGAACTCTGCTCCTGGAATCCCTCACCTTCGTTTGTGTGATAGTTCAGATAGATTTTTCTATGAAGACAGCTTTGTATTTTTAGAAAATGTAAGTGTGACCTACTTGGCTACTTAATACACCTAATGAATTAATTTAATGTATCCTCATCACGTGCCTATGTGCCGGGCATGTGATGGAAGCAAGAAAGATGCGGTTCTTGCCTCGTCAGTTTTACCGTTCAGCGGAACATACCATGCACTATTTTCCTTCTTTAAGGTGCAGAATGATCTAACATCACGGAGTAATGGGAGCCAGTATTCTCCAAATGAGGTAAGGTTCCTGAAGGTGAAAGAAAGCTGAGGTATTTCATGATGGCCAAATTGCCATGTCTTTTACAGAAAGACAGACACTAGGACTGTTGTAATTAGCTGAGTATTGCAGATTCTCTGGGAATCAGTCTCCCTCTCGTTAGCTCCCATAAGCCGTATCTGCCCCTATTCATAATCAAAGATTAATTTTTATAAGATATATTAAAAAACAAACAAACAAATATGGGAACCTCTTTACTGAGTGGCTTTGTCCCAAACAGAATGAAAATTGCTGTGATAGGCAACATTTGGAATGTCTCGTTATCCGTAAATGATTCAGGGTGGTTTCCCTGTAGAGGAGACATCTGTTCATTGTTGTCTGTTTCCTCATTGTGTAGCATTATGAGAGTCTTCATCACGGGTGCCCGGTTTTGGATGTAGGGGTGTGTGTGTGTGTGCATGTGCATGCATGCTGAAATGCTCACACACACACCTGTGCTGGGGGAGAAAACGATTGCTAGTTTTGCATGATTATAAAACATTTTTCTAATGAGCAAAGAAAAAAAATGAATGAATCCCAAAAAAGCAACTTTTTTTTTTCCTGCTACTGGAAACACTTTCCATGTGAAGATACATTTATTATCGTAACTTTTAGCCAGGACTTCATCACACAGCAGCAAATGCAAAAATGTCGTGGTTATGTGATAATCCTTGAACCCAGAGAAGCATGTCTGGTTCTGCTCTAGTGTTGTAAATTTCCTTTCCTTCTAACTCCACAGATGAGTGAGAATTCCCCTGCTGTCTCTCCTACCACAAACAGCACAGCTCCCTTTGGCCTGAAGCCTCGATCAGGTAAATTACAGCCTGAGCCTGTTCTTACACTGGAGAGGAAGCATTCCATGGTTTCTCATTAGCCTTGTAAATTTATACGTGATTAGTGTGAACATCTTTGTCAGCTCTGGCGAGTTTGAATCTTGGCATCAGAACCCTGCTACAGCTTGGGGAGTCCAGATTTGGGAGCTTTGTTTTTATCGATTCAGCTGTTTAGTCCATGTTATCAGTAATGAATTACCTTCTTTGGAATCAGAATAAAGAAGAAAAAAGGTGGTGTATGTGTGTGTTAAAACAAAAGATCATACTGAGCCAATAACAGAAATTGATTGAAGTTTATTTAATACACGATTTGCGAATTGGGGTGAATTTCGACTAGGGAGTCAAAAATGTTCCAAAGAGGAAAGAACTTCTAAAGATTCTTATACCCCATCTTATATGACATTGCCATGGAAACAGGGCCAGAACAGTGTTTACATAAAAACATTTTACCCTGAAACACGGCTTCTATCTGACCTTGGAGTTTCTGTTTCTCAAAACTGACTGCACATAGGTAACTCTTCGCCCAATGCCCAAGGCAAAACTGTATTTACTAATTTATCTAGACCGTTTTGACTCATAAAGGTGACTTTAAGAAACCAATTCTCTCAAGGCTCAAGGTTCAAAAGAACATCTCAGGGAAGTAGCTTGTGGATGTGTCACCCCACCTCCATGGAACCCAGAAATCTGGATTTGGGGAGAATTAAACGCCATCCCTCATGTGTTAAGTGGAGAAGAAATAATCTATTGAGTTTTTTAACCCAGAGGAGATAAAAAAGCCACCCCTTTGCCCCAGTGGTTCCTGGGGCTCTGCTGAGTGAAATTTCCAGGGCAGCCTCTGGGAGAGTGGCTGCTTTCTGAGCCTGCTGGGTCCCATGTACTTACATAACAGGGTGATCATTTCAAGGCTTTTGTGAGTGGTCAGGAGTCATAAAGACTTTTATGAAAGCATTCTGCTAATATTACCTACTTTCTTAGTTTAATATTAGTATGTTCACAAAAGCAAATTATAGCAATGTGCAAAATAATTATTCATTTTAAAAAGAAGGACTATGTATAGAAATGTGGTTCTTCTGTCTGTTTTTTTTTCCATTTATTTCAAGTTCTGGTACTGTTTACCTTTTTTTTAGGTTCTTCTTTGTTTTAATCTTTTTGATTCTTTGGCTTGTAGCGTACACTCACTATTAATGCTTTTAAGCAAATTCTGTTAAAAGACTCAGACACTTTAAAGCAAAAGCTAATCAGGACCTCATATGCTCTTTGGTTTTCCAATAAAGCATTTTGGCAACAGCAGAAGTTATACATATGTATATTTTGAAGAAGGGTACCCATAGAAAAAGAACAAAGATGACACTTTTTTTTTCTAGTTTGCTCTTTTATTTTTATTTTTTTATTGTGGTGAAAATATACATAACAAAACATATGCCAAAACATGACTCTTTAAAAAGCAATTTTTTTTTTTTAAATTTCTGGAGCAAGTTATTGATCGTGACCAGGTGTAATGGTTTCCTAGCATTTTGAATGGGCCCTGAGGCAAAGCCATTTGAGAAAAATACCTTGCGTGTTCCAAGGGCTAGTGGATGTTTTACAGAGAGCCAAATGGTACATGAAGTAAAGCTCCAATGCTGGCCGCCTCATTTAGAGCACTGAGCATATGTGGCCCGAGCTGGGCAGTGGGCCCTGCGTGGGGCTTCCACTTCCACAGCGTCAGGTTGGTGCTGGGAGAAACGGAGGTCAGTCCAGGCACCCCTCCCCTCATCCAGGCCTGCAGTGACTGGATGCCGCGAACATGGTCTCTATACAACCAGGACCTCCAATTGTGCTATGACTTTCTCCTGATCCTTGCAGGCAGTTGTACACCATTTAAAAATATTTTCATATCGAGCAAATTAAAAGTTGAATAAATCTCCAAAGAACAGTATTCTTCTGAATGCACATTTTTGCAATTCAGTTTTAAAATTGTTTCTGTGATTTTTTTTTATTCCTTTTATAGATTCCAAACTCAGCTCATCAAAGTTAGGGCTTACAGTGTACTTGCTCTGTGAAACCATTTCACATTTTTTGTAGTGGTGAAAAATAAATGGAGTATTTATTCTACACAGCAGAAAACAAAGACCATTTCCTCCTGATGTGGAAATTGTGCTGGTTATTGAAAGCTCTGTCTCCTTTGTTGCTATAAATAATACTAATTTATCTTTAGAAATATCAGCTGAAATATTGGAATTTTATAAAACTAGAATGATATATTGGGATTGTGTCATTTTATTTAGTAATTTCAAATTATTGCCGTATGTATTTTTTATATTTTCTAGGAAATAATATATATATAATAATCTTAACTGAGGATCATATGATTAAGAAAGATAGAAACCATTTTTGATTGAGTAGCTCTGGAACTTTTAAAAGCCAATTAATTTTTATTTTAAAATTAAGTATGTGAATTTATGTGATTTCTGTGTTATAAATAAAAAAATAGCAAGTTGGAAGAACTTAGATTCTGAAAGTTGCCTGATAGCTTCCGTTCAAGAAACTTTTTTTGGGGAGAAGGATATTCTTTGATTTACCCCCAAAGAAACAAAATTGCATGCACCCAAATATTCATTCCTAAAACCATGTGTATTTATTTTACTAGCCCTGCCTTATGATTGAATAAAAAATTATACTAGATGTCTCCTGGACATGTGAAGTTACTATATTTAATACAATAAAAAGATATTACCATTTTCATAAATGACCAACTCAAAAGTGCTTGAAATTGATTGGCATCTGTTGGTTAACTGGGTTTGTTAAAAACCTCTACTAGTGTTGAAATTGTTTTTATATTGACCAGTATCAAAGACAGTAATGAGAGGTCTGTGTGTTAAAGGGTTGAGGAAAGAGTTGTCTAGATTCAGCTACTGATAAAGCATGCCAGTAGACTTAGAGATGTCTTTAAAGAAAAATTCTACATTTCCTTAGGAAAAAAACCATGAATGAAAAATACTGATTCTGTAATAATTTTATTTCTAAATAATAGATATATTTATACCTGTATTAAGCATTGTCTTAGGTAACCAAACTTTTTGTGTGAAACTATTTGCTAAGAGTGTTAGTTACTTGGAAAGTCTTTGAAAAAGGTATCTAGTAGGTCTTTTGCTTTTTATCTACATAATCTATGGGTACTCTTTCTTTCTGCCAACTGACATGTTTCATTAGTACTTTAAATCTGGATTTGCGGAACTATTATAATTAACAGTTATTAACTGCATGCAAAGTATATGATTGATAAGTACTAATACTCACTTTTATCATTCTTTTTATTCCATGCACCATCTTTCATTCTTCTCCTATATTGTACATTTGAAATTAATCCCATATAAATGAAATCCACTTCATTTCCATGCAACCCTTATACCATTTGTGCAATGCTGCTGCCCCTTTGGTTTTTCCTGGTCCTTGTGCAACTATACGTGGACTGGCTCTCTCGCTCTCCTGCAGACCCTGCCCTCACTCTTCCTCCTATCTCCTTCAACAAACTTACACAGGCACAAACATGGGACAGCTCTAGCTACAGCATTCCATCTGAAGGAGACAGTGACAATGGTAGGTGGCTTTGTATGTATCCTTCAATTTGCTCATTAATAAGCCAGTGGATAGACTGAACATTTCTGTGCAGCTGAAGATAATGTTCAACTGCATGCCTGGTACAGGAGATCCTGAGTAAAGGCTAGAAAAGTGCATGTGGACTGTTCTCTAGCAGTTTTTCATACTAGTCTGATTATCTTGAATAGTCTGAATTTTGGGGAGGAATTAAAAATGATTTCTGCTGTGTCTTTTCTGCTAGGGTTGTTTGGTTTGTTGCTTGTTTTCAGAGATTTGGAATTTGTGTATTTGGGTGATTTCTGCTTGCTCCTGCTTCTGCACTAAATGTATTTAGAGTTTGATCTGTTATTATCTGTGCTTACCATGTGAGATTTTAAGGTAATTAAAAGGTACCTTGTCTGATCCTAGAGTGTTGTACCAAAAATAACTTACATGTTGGGACAGACCTAAAAAGAGAAATTACTTGTCTTCTCTTCCTTTTTTTTTTTTCCAAATTATTTGCACATTTTGACTTTTGATACTTTCTTGAGTGTAAATTAATCTAGATAATATTCAAGAATTTTGGCCTGAGAATGTAGAAATTTTTGAAATGGTGTAACTTTGGCTATGTATATTTTCACCAGAAAAAAGGTCTTCCAAGGTCGAGAAGGGAGAGTGTTGACATGTTGTGGGGTTGTTAATCGATGTCATAAAACAATATGTGTACTGACTGTTTAATGAGAAACTATTTGTTCTGTAAACCTTCACCTAAAGTACAATAAAAAAAAAAAAATTAAAAGAAGAATTTTGGCCTGAGAATCAAAAGTGCAAATAAAAAATTGAGGGCACCCAGCCAAAACAAATATGGGTATCTTTTAATTTGTGCCATTAAATAGCTTAAATAGCCTAAGAGATTAAAATAAATATAATTTTTTGATCTAATACCACAATATGTTAGTCTCCATTCTAGTCTAATGCTAGTTCAAGATTTTAAACATTTTACTTCGAAATACAAAGTGATAGAAGTAATGTTAAATGATGCAGAGTATGATTTATTGGGACAAAAAGTAATGGTGAGGTATAACCACAATGCAAATACAATGGGAAGATATAGTCTCTGATAATATTTTTTATCTAAATATGTCATATGTACCGGTTGCTGTCGAGTCGATTCCAACTCATAGCAACCCTGTAGGACAGTAGAACTGCCCCTATAGGGTTTTCACGGAGCGGCTGGTGGATTCAAACTGCTGACCTTTTTGGTTAGCAGATGTAGCTCTTAACCACCGTGCAACCAGGGCTCCATGTCATATGTAATACATAGGAAATATATCCTTTAAAAAAACTTGCTGTGGTTCCTGGTCAGAATTCAACCAAAAATGCTGATCCAGTTACCTTATGTAAAAGGATAATGTAGACTTTGAAAGGTCAGTTATAAAAGGAAATTTAATATATATACACTTCTAAAATTCTTAACTGAAAAATAAATATGATTGAAAACAGCAACATCAATGAAGCAAAAGCCCTTCCTTATATCATCTTATTTTAAATTCTGAAAGTTGCAGAGGAGCTAAATGGAAACTTTGTTGATAAACTTTTCCTTTACCTAAAAAGAAAGGGGGAGGCATTTTTGTTTTTTGGGAAGCATTGCTATTTCTGGGTCTGATGTTGTTCAAGGAAATAAAGCCTGGGTGAAAGATTTATGTGTGATTTGGTATTTCCTTAGGCATGATATCTAAAACTTGAAAGCCTTTCCTTTAAGCTTGGAAAGGACTAGACATCTTATGTTAGAAACTGAATTTTTATCTTTATAGATGAACCAACTAAAGCCAGCAAGGTGAGGTGACCTGCCTGGGTCACGCTGCTAGTTAGAGGTGAAAAGAGATAGGGTCAACCTCAGACAGTCTAACTATCGGACTCTCAGATAGTCTCATCCTTACTGTGTCAATGTTTATTCTATAGTTGTTTATTGAGGACACTATAGACAAAGTACTAATCCAGTCTGCCTTCTTTTTATTAAAATCCTAAGATATCCCTAGAAAATAATCATTGTGAAATCTTTCTAAAAAGAAAACAACCTTGCCGTATTTTGCGGGTGTTTTTTCTATGAGTGAAAATTCCAGGAACTGACGTACAGCTATCATGCTGCATCACAGTAATAATCAAGGGATTGTTTTCCATATTCTGTGGCCCAGTCAGTCACGTCCAATGTTTGGTGGTTGGTTTTCCCTATTTTCAATTTTTTTTGTATAGTATGTCCTGGGCAACAGGTAATTTTTGGTTTAGAAGTGTTCTTTACAATTATTTGTGTAGCTTCCCAGATCAGATGTTTCATATTCATCTTCATTTTCTGTGGGCTAAATTTTACCTTGTGATTTGAATACATTTTCAAAAATTAAAGTTGTTATTAGTTGTCATCAAGTTGGCTCCAACTCATGGTGACCCCATGTACAACAGAACAAAACATTGCCTGGTCCTGTGCCACCTTCATGATCGTTGGTACGTTTGAGCCCATTGTTACAGCTATTGTGTCAGTTCATCTTATTAAAGGCTTCCCTTGTTTTTGCTGACCCTCGACTTTTATCAAACATGATGCTCTTCTCTAGCAATTGGTCTTTCCTGTTGATGTCCAGCACCGTACTGGACAATGTTCTGTTGTGATCCATAGGGTTTTCATTGGCTCATTTTCAGAAGTCGATCACCAGGCCTTTCTTCCTAGTGTATCTTAGTCTAGAAGCTCTGCTGAAACCTGTCTGTCATGAGTGACCTTGGTATTTGAAATATTGGTGGCATAGCTTCCAGCATTATAACAACACGCAAACCACCACAGTACTGCAAACTGACAGCTGCACTATATGAATCCACAATATGTGAGCTAGTGTTGCAAGAGGAATGTTCGCCTGTTCCTCTTAAGTAGGAGATCCTACTCAATATGTATCTTGGCATTTCCAAGCTAATTACCACATCAATTTTGTTTCCTCACATTTTCTCCTTTATCCAATATCCAGTTATCTTTTAACCTTTGTGGATGAACGGCATGTTATTACCATATCAACCCCATAGAATGTAACTTGCCCCTCCATTGATTTTTTTTTTTAATTCTTTACTATTTTTGGAGTTCTGGTGGCACAGGGTTAAGAGTTACGGCTGCAAACCAAAAGGTCGGCAGTTTGAATCCACCAGCTGCTCCTTGGAAACCTTATGGGGCAGTTCTACACTGTCCTATAGGGTTGCTCTGAGTTGGAATCAACTTGACAGCAATGGGTTTGGTTTGGTTTTTTTTACTATTTTTTTGTAAAGTTGGCATTTTTATACCTCGCTCACTGTCTTGCTTTATATTAGCATTTTCCTTTCATTTCGATTCTTTCTAATATTTCATTCCAAAAATATCTCACTTTAAATTCCACATTTTCTCTAGAACTCATTGTGCAAAGAGATTTTTACAAATGGCAAACTGTCCAGAAAGTTCTTAGGAGTTTGAATTCCCATGTCCCCAAAGTTCTGTCTCGTACTGTGGCTGAGGAGGAGGTGGAAGTGTGGATGCAGTCTTTGCACCCCTGGGACTGGATGGACCTCTTCCACTTAAGTGTCTTCCTACCTTGACAAAACCTAACTTCCGCTGTTTCCCTTGCTCTTGTGTCCTCGTCCTGCTCGTCATGTGTCCTCTTCGCCTTCACTTTGAAGGCAAAAAATCCTTCGTCTCTGCCTCTCTTCTTTTGAATGATTTTCCCTTTTTCATTTGCCATGAATTGATGAGTGCTGATTTACATTGATTTAAAGTTTATTTTTAAAATATCCCCAGAGAATGGACAGACCCACCTTGGGCCAGTTTCCAGACATTTTCTCTAATTCATTACAATAATATTGCACTACAGGTGTATTTTCCCCTGAGGAAACTGAAGATGTGAGAGGTTTCGCAGTAGTTCCTAACCCTGGCTTCACATTAGAATCACCCAGGCATTTTTAAAACTCTAGATGCCCAGCCCCTACACTCAGAGATGCTAATTTATTTGGTCTAGCCTGGAATCCAGGCACTGTAAAGTTTTTAAAGCTCTTTATGTGATGTTAATGAGCAACCAGGGTTAAAAGCCACTGGGTTAAGTAAATAGTCCAAGACCACAGAGATGAAGTTTGAACACTTTGAGGGCAGGGAATGCATCTAATTCATTTTTGGACACCAGAAGGAAATGAATGAGCTAGTCACATTTCTGATTCGCATTAGCCTGCATTGAAAGCCCATGATGTTTTCTCAAAGCCACCAGACTGCTGCTCTTGAATTTTTATATATTAAACTTGACACCCGTTACAGGTTCTTAACTTTAAAGGAAACCACTAAAGAACTCAATTTGGCTGCTAACTAAACGATCGGCAGTTCGAATCCACCAGCCGCTCCTTAGTAACCCTATGGGCAGTTCTCCTCTGTCCTGTAGGGTCACTATGAGTTGGAATCCACTTGATGGCAACGGATTTATGTTTTTTCTTTGTGTGTTTTTTAGTGGTCTTTTGGAAAACCTCATATTTCCACACAGAAATCTCTCATTGAGTTAAATTTAGGTAATAAATTTTAGTAATACAGGACTGATCATTTTTGTGCAAAGAGTGCATTTCATGTAATAATTATAAGTAGCATTTCAGGCAGTTTTCAGAGCAGTGGACATTGGTTGTGTCACTGAAATATATTCTTACAACAATTAGAGAAATGGTTTGTTTGCACATCCTCAAATTTCTAGTCAACCAACCAGTTGCTGTCGAGTCGATTCCAACTCATAGCAACCCCACATGTCAGAGTAGAACTGCGCTGTGTAGGATTTTCAATGGCAGTGACCTTTTGGAAGTAGATTGCCAGGTCCGTCTTCCAGGGTGCCTCTGGGTGGACTCAAATCTCTACCTTTTGGTTAGCAACTGAGTGTGTTACTGTTTGAACCACCAGGGACTCCTCCAGGTATCTACTGAATGTTTATTATGTCATAGGCATGGTGCTTGTTACTGTGGATACATCTCAGCAAAAGACAGACAAGATCTTCTTTTTCATGGAACTTTTATTTCAGAGTCTAATGCATTTAGACCTGGAAACGAAGCTTTAAGAAATTTCTCATGAGAGGAAAAATTTAGGTAACTGATTATCGGGATAGAATAATCTTCACTGCAGAGATACTGTCTAAATAGACTCGTCATTGAATGAGGGAGTTTTTGAAGCAATTGTTTCATGTATTCATATGACAAGCTCATCCTGCCCAACTCACTGCTTTGTGACGGGTGGGTTTGAGAGTGGGGGGTGGGGTGGAGGGTACACATTGAAAGCAGACATAAACAGTCATAAACATAATGGAGAGAAACATCTATACTGTGAAGTGGAGAGTGATGTGTGTGCCATAAGAGACACAGATAAGAATTTTGTAAGTTCATAGGAGACAGACATTATTGCCAGCTCCGGGGTGAGGACAGGGAGAAGAGTGGAGGACGAGGCAGAGATAATGGAAAAACCAGTAGAATTTGGCCTGTACTGCAAGGAAGAAAATAAAACTTGGGGAAAAACAAAAAAACTCAGGTACTATAATCAGAGCTACCTTTTGATAGTCCTAGTATAATTACCCTGTCATGACAAACCTGCAAAATAAGCTAATCACTGTCATGTTCAGTATATTTATTAGCCTAAAGGAGTTTGTTTTAAATTCTCAAGTATTCTAGAAAAGCCATGGTATTACAGTCATGGTTTCCAATAATTTTATGTGCATATGAAGTGGTCATGTGGAAAACTACAGTCCAAGTGTGTTTTAACATTAATCGCCTGACATTCATACAGCAGATACCCAAGCATGCATTTTGTATTTTTAAGGCGCAAAGGAATTTAAGATGAAAAGGGATGCTAGGAAATTAAGACGCAAACACTACTGCCTGATCCGGATACCTCACGGAGGGCCCCAACGAGGCATAGATACTTGAACTGCGTGCTGTTGAACAAAAGCTCACGGTTCATTTAACTTCCTGACAGTTTCATACTCGGAATGAAGTCTGCCAGTAAAAACATATTAAAAATATTAAACATGCTGTATTGGATAAGATTACCCCCAGAAAAAAAAGCAAAGGAAAATATAACCTCCAAAGAAAACATTACCTTCGTGTAAACAGTGTTGGGGTGCCGCTTGCTGGCTGTGTGTGTATTACCCATTTCTATCCACATTCCTTGACTTCTTGGGTAAATTTAGTTGACTTCTTTTCTTTGGGAGTGTGGATTCATTCTATATTTTACATTTTGATGTATCTTCTGGTTACTACTCTTAAATGGGTAGTTTTTGTATGGCTTTATATGGTGAAAAAAAAAAAAAAGGTGCTGTCAGGTCGACTGCAACCCATGGTGACCCCATGGGTATTAGAGCAGAACTGTGCTCCATAGGGTTTTCAGTGGCTGATTTTTCGGAAGCAGATCACCAGGCCTTTCTTTTGAGGCACCTCTGGGTAGATTCAAACTGCCAGCTTATCACTTAATAGCTGAGTGCTTAAGTGTTTCCACCACCTAGGAGCTCCTTCTAGTGTAAAAGCAAGTTTAACACATTCTTCATTTCTTTCCACGCTTCTTAATTTGTCGGACTTTTCTCTACTTCCCAGTTTTCCCCTGCTGGTCTTGCTTGAAGCAGTCGGTCTCACTTCCTGTGGGGTCGAACTTTTTTGGGCCTTGATGGCAGCCTCCTGAGACACACTTTTGACTCTCTTTGCCTGTGACATCCCTGAGTGGGCCTGCAGCAGAGGCCCTGCCCACAGGCCGACTCCTGTTTCAGGCTCCAGAAGATGTTAACATGCATTATTAGATCGTTCTCTTTCGCCATTTGCTTGGTCTTAACTGTAAGTCAGGGGTTTATTCAGATGCTTCAACTCTGTAGTCTTCATAGAGCATCAGAATGCTGATTTAAATATCCTAGAACCAACTGGAGCTCTGGTGGGGCAGTGTTAAGAGCTCAACTGCTAATCAAAAGGTCGGCAGTTCGACCTCACCAGCTGCTTCTTGGAAACCCTATGGGGCAGTTCTGCTCCGTCCCATAGGGTCGTTATGAGTCGGAATCGACTCAACAGCAACAGGTTTGGTTTTGGTTTTGATCAGAACCAATTGAGAAAGAAAATACTGAAATGCGAGAGGTATAATACAAGCCATTTATTAAGGTGGTTTGGCTCAAAGGTACAAATTGAGATTTAAAATGTCATAGTTGGGTGAGGACAATTGATTATATGGTATGGACTCAAATCTTTTTTTCAAAGAATTATTATTTGTAAACCAGATTTAATTTTTAAGAACCCAGTAGATTGAAAAGGTCTCCAAAGAACCACATTAAGAGATGTTCATCAGGATAGCATAAACGTTGCATCCTCTTCTTATTCTACATTTTTTAAATTGTGGTGATTGAAACTAGTAGAATTGCAGTATGCCAGGGCATCTTTCTGTGTGGCTTTAATTTTTAAAACTGGAGTTCTTTGCCCCAGAATTTTTGTAGGACTTCCCCCACTTTCCCCAACACACACAGGCTTAAGGTCTGCAGGACAGAGGAACCAAAAACCAAATATGGCTCAGAACAGCTCCTTCGCCCCCTCTTGTGTGCATGGGAAGTCGACAGCCTTAATAGGATAAAAACCTCAAAACCAAAAAACCCGAACCTATTGCCATAGAGTCGATTCCGACTCATAGTGACCCTACAGGACAGAGTAGAACTGTCCCATAGAGTTTCCAAGGGGCACCTGGTGGATTCAAGCTATTGACCTTTTGGTTAGCAGCCGAGCTCTTAACCACTGCACCACCAGGGTTTCCAAAAACGTCAAGGAACGTAAAAATGCAAGTTTAAATCAACTCTCAGCCTTGTATCGTGGTAAAAATTAAGACCCTTGCTATTATCACTCTGCCATATGTAAAATATTGTGTATCTTCTTTATTAGTCTTTAAAATATGTTATCCTTCACGGGTTTAGAAGCAGCCGTTTTCTCTGGGGCAAGGGGCTTACTCTTCCTTTGGGAGGAAGAACTGCTGTGGCTTCCTGTTCTTGTAACCTTAAAAATCTGTAGCCAATGATGATCTCTTAAGCTGCCTCTGATCTTGCTACCCTTTCTAGAAGGAGTCTACGCTCACCTCTAAAAGACTTAACTTTTTGGATACACTGTCAGTAACATGATAGAAGGCAGGATTTTTCCACTCCACACTTAAAAATGCAATGCTGGGTATCATTACTCAGCTCTTAACCCAGACATGTGAAAAATGTCATGCCAATAAAAACATTAATCTGTGCATATTTTTAACACGTCGAGAAATTCTAGAGTCTTTTACATAAAACAAATGATCTGAATTTAATGAAAAGGTTGTGAAGCATGCAATGGAAAACTTAGAATGAAGCAATGGGGAAGTGAAAGAGGAGGGACAGCCATCAGAGAAGCCACCTGGGACGGTTCCAGTGAAGACCCAAACCCTTCCCTGGATCCGGTTTATTATCACCAAAAAAATACAGCTTGTGAGTTTACACAACCAGTATAACTTAAATATACCAAAAAAACCTGTCACCCTCGAGTCGATTCTGACTTATAGCGACCCTATAGGACAGAGTAGAATTGCCCCAGAGGGTTTCCAAGGAGCAGCTGGTGGATTCGAACTGCTGACCTTTTGGTTAGCAGCCACGCTCTTAACCACTGTGCCACCAGGGCTCCTAACTTAAATATAGTATAACTTAAATACAGATAACTTAAAATATAGTCTTCTTTAAAAGCCAGTTGCCATTGAGTTGATTCCGACTCATGGCAACCCCAGGTGTGTCAGAGTAGAACTGCTCCATAGGGTTATCAGTGGCTGATTTTTCAGAAGTAGATTGCCAGGTCTTTCTTCCAAGGTGCCTCTGGCTGGACTCGAACCTCTCACCTTTTGGTTAGCAGTTGGGTGTGTTAACCGTTTGCACCACACAGGGACTCCATAGTCTCCTTTAGAATACGCTAATCAAGCTTTCCATGTCAGGTGGGAATGTCTTTGTTTCCATGGAGTGGTGAGTGAATTATTTGGGATGAATAAAGACACTGTTTGTTTCATTTAAATCTGAGTAGCCGTATATGGCAACCTGTAGAAGGTGCTACATAAAGCCTCTTTTTTCTTTATATTACAGTATTTCTAAGACCTCAGAGAAATTTGGAATCTATAGACCCACAGTTTACAATTCGGAGGAAGATGGAACAGATGAGAGAAGAAAAAGAACTGGTGGAACAACTCCGTGAGGTACCCCAGAAATACTGTACAAGTGAATAATGATGTTCAGGATTGAAGCAGCAGTCTGTATTTCCTTAAACAGACTTCAAAGCATTGCACACAGACCTAGTTTCAGGTCACCTACTGATTGTTTAGTGTTGGGCAAGTCACTTCTCACCCCTGAGTTTCAGTCTCGACTTTCATCTGTTAAAAAAATAGTTTCAATCTACCTAGAGGGGTTTTGTGAGGAATGTATGAGATAATGTAAGTGAAATACCTAATAACCAAAACCAAACCCATGGCCGTGGAGTCAGTTCTGACTCATAGTGAATACCTAATGCGTATGTATGAATGCTAGCATTATTTCAGTTCATTTATACTTTAAAATAATGCACTGTCATTTATTTGTTGTTGTTAGGTGTCGTTGAGTCGATTTTCGACTCATAGCAACCCCGTGTGACAGTGGAACTGCCCCATAGGGTTTTCTTAATGGGAACAGACCACTGGGTCTTTCTTCTGCAGAGTGGCTGGGTGGGTTCAAACCGAAAACCTTTTCAGTTAGCAGTCATGCACTTAACTGTTGCAACACCAGGGGTCCCTGTTATTTATTTGCCTAATAATAATATTCCATTAATTTATAACTGTTTTCAGTTATCTTTACTTTGTACCCCAAATGGGTCAGAGCTTTTAATCAGTTATGTAATAGGCAAACCATATGAGCTCCATCCAAGAGTGATGCCCTGTTGGGGGTACCCTGGAAAATTTTAAGCTTAGTGACAGCAGGGACAATCGCTGTGTTATTCCTGTTGGATTTTCAGCCCCAGCACAGCCCTGGCAGGCATCTAGTTGGTATTTGTCTGTCCTCATGACCTTCATATCTAGTTAGGAAGGTCATATATAAATATATTAAGGGTCAGATTACAGTAAAATGTTGAATCACCAAGGAAGAAGACATTGGTATTAGTTATTAAAGGCAGCACGTTATGAATTGCTACATAGATTCTTTAAGTTCAAGAAGGAGAAGTAGCATAGCTACCAACTAGAAGAATACACAAATCTTAGAGGAGGTCGAGCTTATGCTAAGTCTTCACACTTCACAAGCCAGTGTTATTGACTATGTGCCAGGCAGTATTTTAGGTGATTAGGGGGCAGATATAGGAGAGAACAAGAAAGTCCCTGCTGTTAGGAAGCATATAGTCTATTGGGAAGAGACAGGAAATAACAAGGAAACACATAAATATACTTATTTCAGATAGCAATGAGTTCTACAAATGAGCAATGCATACTATAAATAAAACTAAATAAAATAAGATTTAAAATATGGTAGGTCAGCATCTTTGTTGTTGCAAATGACACTTTATACAGTAAAACCTACGAAAGCTGGAACCTGTATAAGGCAGAAACCTGTTAGAGGAGGAAAACTCAAATATTTTCCATTAGAGAGTGATAGAAAAGTGGTGACTGCACCCTATCAGAGGTGGAAAACTTGTGAGACCTGGAAAAACAAGGCAGTCCCGTCAAGTTTCGGCTCTCATAGGTTTCACTGTATCGCTCATGGTGGTGAGTTCCTTGGGTTTTCTTTTAGCCTCATATATTCAGACCTGGAGCTAAAGAAGCTGCAATGCAGAAACACCAGCCCAAAACCAGAACCAGACCCACTGCTGTCCAGTCGATTGACTCATTGACCCTGAAGGACAGAGTAGAACTGCCCTGTAGGGCTTCCGAGGTTATAAATCTTGACGGAAGCAGACTACCACATCTTTCTCCCACGGAGCAGCTGGTGGGTTCCAACTGCCAACCTTTCGGTTAGCAGCCGAGTGCTTAATCTCTGTGCCACCAGGGCTCTTGAAACACCAACAGACGCAGACAAAAAAAAAAAGCCCCAACAAAAGTCTACTCTCTCTAGACTTAACAAGCCAATTAGCAAGTCAGAAAACTTTTAATCCATAACTGCCTTGCTCCAGCCATTCATCACAGAAAAAAACTGTAGCCTCATCCCAGCCATACCAGCAAAGGCTGGGTGGCAAGCTGAGACTTCTTCCTTCACCAGAATGTAACAATGACCTCAGTACCCTTTCTGTGGTGATGTCAGAGATGGCCAGGTAGGTAGCCAGAAATTTCATCCTCACTGACCAGTAACAAGCCAATCCCCAGCTGTGCCCACAGTGTCAGTGGAGACCATGGCAGGAGCCAAGATTTCTACTCCTACCCAACAGTAACAAGGCACTATCCCCTCCCCTCTGGGGTGGTGTCAGAGGAGACCTAGTGGAGAGTCAGGACCTTAATCATTGCCCAGCAGTGACGAGGTAGCACCCACCACAGTGTCAGCGGAGAGCATGTGGAGAGCTGGAACTCTAACCCCCACCCAGCAATAACAAGGAGCCTCTCCCTCAGGGGTCAGTGGAAGCTGAGTGGGAAACTTGGACTTGTACTTCCACCTGGCAGTAACAAGGACGTGCCCCTCTTCCATATTGCACAGTCAATAAAACACAGGTAAACATCTTTCTGGTATTCTCTGCTTTCAGCCAGGATCCATCTGACATCAGCAATGATATCCCTGGTTCCACGTACTCGTCTGAATCTGGCTTGAATTTCTGGCAGTTCCCTGTTGATGTATCACTGCAACCGCTTTTGAATGATCTTCAGCAAAATTTTACTTGTGTGTGATATTAATAATATTGTTCAGTAATGTCCACATTCAGTTGGATCACCTTTCTTTGGAATAGGCATAAATGTGGATCTCTTCCAGTCGGTTGGCCAGATAGCTGTCTTCCAAATTTCCTGGCATAGATGAGTGAGCACTTCCAGCGCCGCATCCTTGTTGAAACATCTCAGTTGGTATTCCGTCAGTTCCTGGAGCCTTGATTTTCAGCAACATCTTCAGTGTGTCTTGGACTTCTGTCTTCAGTGCCATATGCTACTTGCTAAAGTGACTGAACGTCAACCATTTCTTTTTGGTACAGTGACTGTGTATTCCTTTCATCTTCTTTTGATGCTTTCTGCAAAAGGCATGGTCCAACTATATGCTTTCTAGAAATGTGCAGTAAAAGAATTGAAGAAGATATATCACACAGACATTCATGAAAGGAAAGCAGGAGTGGTTGGCTATATTAATATTAGAAAAAATAGACTTCAAAACAAAGAAAGTTACCAGAAACAGAGAGGGACATTATATAATAGTAAAAAGGTCAACCCACCTTTTTAATATTAGAAGAAGACATAGCAATTCTAAATGTGTGTGCACCATATGACAGACCTGTAAAATACATGAAGTAAAAACTGCTGGAATTGAAAGAAGAAACAGACAAATCAACAATTGTGGTACCAAAAAAAAGAAGAAGGGCTAGTAGTTGGAAAATATGGCGTTGGTGATAGAAACGATGCGAGATCACATGATAGAATTTTGCAAGACCAACGACTTCTTCATTGCAAATACCTTTTTTCAACAACATGTATGGTGACTATACACGTGAATCTCGCCAGATGGAATACACAGGAATCAAATCGACTACATCTGTGAAAAGAACTGATGGAAAAGCTCAATATTATCAGTCAGAACAAGGCCTGGGGCCAACTGCAGAACAGACCATCAGTTGCTCATACGCAAGTTCAAGTTGAAACTGAAGAAAATTAGAATAAGTTCACAAGAGCCAAAGTACGACCTTGAGGACATCCCACCTGAATTTAGAGACCATCTCAATAGATTTGACACATTGAACACTAATGACCGAAGACCAGATGAGTTGTGGAATGACATCAAGGACATCATACATGAAGAAAGTAAGAGAACATTAAAAAGACAGGAAAGAAAAAAAAGACCAAAAGGGATGTCAGAGGAGACTCTGAAACTTGCTTTTGAACGTCAAGTAGCTAAAGCAAAAGGAAGAAATGAAGAAGTAAAAGTGCTGAACACAAGATTTCAAAGGGGGGCTGGAGAAGACAAGGTATTATAATGACATGTGCAAAGATCTGGAGATAGAAAACCAAGGGAAGAACATGTTCTGCATTTCTCAAGCTGAAAGAACTGAAGAAAATAGTCGAGCCTGCAGTTGCAATACTGAAGGATTCTAAAGGGAAAATATTAAACGTTGTAGGACGCATCAAGAGAAGATGGAAGGAACACACAGAGTCACTATACCAAAAAGAATTGGTCAATGTTCAACTATTTCAGGAGGTATCATATGATTAGGAACCGATGGTACTAAAGGAAGAAGTCCAAGATGCATTAAAGGCATTGCGAAAAACAAGACTCCAAGAATTGATGGAATACCAATTGAGATATTTCAGCAAACAGATGCAGTGCTGGAAGTGCTCACTCGTCTATGCCAAGAAATTTGGAAGACAGCTATCTGGCCAAGCGACTGAAAGAGCCCCATATTTGTGCCAATTTCCAAGAAAGGTGATCCAACTGAATGCAGAAATATCATTATATCATTAATATCATTAATTATCATTATCATATTATCATTAATTTTATCATTAATTAATTAATTTTATCATTAATATTATCATATTAATATCATTAATATCACACACAAGTAAAATGATGCTGAAGATCATTCAAAAGTGGCTGCAGCAGTACATCGACAGAGAACTGCCAGAAATTCAAGCCAGATTCAGAAGTGGACGTGGAACCGGGGATATCATTGCTGATGTCAGATGGATCCTGGCTGAAAGCAGAGAATACCAGAAAGATGTTTACCTGTGTTTTATTGACTATAAAGGATTTGACTGTGTGGATCATAACAAATTATGGATAACTTGCAAAGAATGGGAATTCCAGAGCACTTAACTGTGCTCATGAGGAACCTGTACATAGATCGAGAGGCAGTTGTTTAAACAGAATAAGGGGATATGTGGTTTAAAGTCAGGAAAAGTGTGCATCAGGGTTGTATCTTTTCACCATACTTATACAATCTGTATGCTGAGCATGTAATCCAATAAGCTGGACTGTATGAAGAAGAATGAGACATCAGGATTGGAGGAAGACTCATTAACAATCTGCATTATATGCAGATGACACAACCTTG